GCATAGACTAACGTATAGCGCTAAGGTTGCTTTATACAATGGCAGCCTGGTGTGTTCTGGTAAACAAACAAACCAAATTGATGGTAAAATCCTTATCCAAGCCAAATATACACATGTTCATGAAGTATTGATTAGTAATATCCCTCAATCCCCCAGTGTGCCATTCCAATATTCTTGTATATGCCACCATCGTACAGCATTATATCCCTGTGTTTCACAGTGTAATGCACAGAAAATATTCCCCTATATCCAAGTGTAACGTGTAGCCCTATTTCCCTATATACCACCAGTGCATCGTACAGCATTATATCCCTGGGTTTCACAGTGTAATGCACAGAAAATATTCCCCTATATCCCAGTGTAACGTGTAGCCCTATTTCCCTATATACCACCAGTGCATCGTACAGCATTATATCCCTGTGTTTCACAGTGTAATGCACAGAAAATATTCCCCAATATCCAAGTGTAACATGTAGCCCTATTTCCCTATATACCACCAGTGCATCATACAGCATTATACTACTGCAGATAATTAATCCTGACAACTTTCACAACGAAGCCAAATCACTGGCAATGATACTAAATCCTAGCAATGTCACTGCCAAAAGTGTCTCAAAGATTATTTATATCTTCTCCAGAAGATCTGCCCTCATAACGCATAACTTGTCGTTACAGTTCCCATAAATGCTGTCATAAACCCCCCTTATTTAAGGTTTTCTATAATGTTAGCCTTACTGTGTTGATGTTTCTATAAAACATTCTATATCTGTAGTACAGATAAGTACCCTGCTTGGGTGTTCTGTACAATAAATATCTTGAAACTCGAATCTTGAATCTTATATCCCTGTGTTCCCTGTGTAATGTACAGAAATATTCACCTTCATCCCAGTGTAACGTGTAGCACTATTTCCCTATATCCCACCAGTCCATCATACAGCATTATATCCCTGTGTTTCACAGTGTAATGCACAGAAATATTCACCTTCATCCCAGTGTAACGTGTAGCACTATTTCCCTATATACCACCAGTGCATCGTACAGCATTATATCCCTGTGTTTCACAGTGTAATGCAGAGAAATATTTACCTTCATCCCAGTGTAACGTGTAGCACTATTTCCCTATATACCACCAGTGCATTGTACAGCATTATATCCCTGTGTTTCACAGTGTAATGTACAGAAATATTCACCTTCATCCCAGTGTAACATGTAGCCCTATTTCCCTATATACCACCAGTGCATCATACAGCATTATACTACTGCAGATAATTAATCCTGACAACTTTCACAACGAAGCCAAATCTCTGGCAATGATACTAAATCCTAGCAATGTCACTGCCAAAAGTGTCTCAAAGATTATTTATATCTTCTCCAGAAGATCTGCCCTCATAACGCATAACTTGTCGTTACAGTTCCCATAAATGCTGTCATTAACCCCCCTTATTTAAGGTTTTCTATAATGTTAGCCTTACTGTGTTGATGTTTCTATAAAACATTCTATATCTGTAGTACAGATAAGTACCCTGCTTGGGTGTTCTGTACAATAAATATCTTGAAACTCGAATCTTGAATCTTATATCCCTGTGTTCCCTGTGTAATGTACAGAAATATTCACCTTCATCCCAGTGTAACGTGTAGCACTATTTCCCTATATCCCACCAGTCGATCATACAGCATTATATCCCTGTGTTTCACAGTGTAATGCAGAGAAATATTCACCTTCATCCCAGTGTAACGTGTAGCACTATTTCCCTATATACCACCAGTGCATTGTACAGCATTATATCCCTGTGTTTCACAGTGTAATGTACAGAAATATTCATCTTCATCCCAGTGTAATGTGTAGCACTATTTCCCTATATCCCACCAGTGTACAAGATACAAGGTACAAGATTTTGTTGCTCAAACGTTCCATGTAGAAACAGTGACACTATTCTATAAACTATATGAACAGATACATAAGTAGTCAGGATAACAACACAAAGTATGACAAAATATTACGTTATGACTTGGGTCTATAATAAGTACTTCAGATTCATTTGAAGTAGTATACATGACCGCATATTATTTCTATGTTAAATGGTTCATTATTTGAAATAAAGTAGACTAAATATTCTCTGATGTTAAGGCTTTCAAAATAATTATGTTTTAAGTAAAGAGAATTATACAGGGAGTGCCTTACATCTGCAAATGTACTACAAGACATCAGATAGAGTTCTTCATCTTCAAGGCGTCCCTTGGGCACGCCAGAAACCTATGATTGTGGGTTCGAATCCCGGTTTGCCCTGATTATGTTTCTAGGTTTGTCAGCACCATACCCGTGCTCGTGGGTTTAACCGAAGTGGTAAACGTCTGAGACCTGCATCACTTCGGGCTTTCCTCCCACATTAAGCTGACACGCTGTGATATAACTGGAATACTGTTAAAAGCGGCGTTTAACCCAACTCACACTCACTCACTCACTGATCACAGAGACGTTTTTCACAAGGTGTTAGTGGTCTTGTTTTCACTCAGTTCAAGTTTTAGCCTGTGATCACTCAGCCTTAGCTTGGTGAAGTGGGCACTGTGTTGTTTTATCTGAAAGTGTTCAAAATAGGCTTCAAGTTGTATTTCTGACTTAAAGTTTCTATATGTTCCAAGTTTGTTGAATTTAATTGATTTGGTTTATCTTGAAGCGATAAGTGGAACATGTCTGTAAAATTTGATTTCAGGTCTTACGGAGCAAGACATTAGATCATTTTCTTTGATGTCAAACTTATCTAGGAGGCAAGTGAATTTAGTGTACCATCCAATTTTATGTTTGGCTATGGTTATTGATTCATAAAAACATGTTTTAAAACAATATTGGGAGATTGAAAAATATGATTGTAGAATTAAATAATTGATTTAATTTTCTTAAACAGTATTGTACAGCCTTATATCCCACAGTGTAACATACAACATATATCCCACCGTGTAACATACAGCGTATATCCCACCGTGTAACATACAGCGTATATCCCACCATGTAACATACAGCGTATATCCCACCATGTAACATACAGCGTATATCCCACCGTGTAACATACAGTGTATATCCCTCAGTGTAACATACAGCGTATATCCCACAGCGTATATCCCACAGTGTAACATACAGCATATATCCCACCGTGTAACATACAGCATATATCCCACCGTGTAACATACAGCATATATCCCACCATGTAACATACAGCTTATATCCCACCATGTAACATACAGCTTATATCCCACCGTGTAACATACAGCGTATATCCCACCATGTAACATACAGCGTATATCCCACCATGTAACATACAGCGTATATCCCACCGTGTAACATACAGCGTATATCCCACCATGTAACATACAGCGTATATCCCACCATGTAACATACAGCATATATCCCACCGTGTAACATACAGCATATATCCCACAGTGTAACATACAGCTTATATCCCACAATGTAACATACAGCGTATATCCCACCATGTAACATACAGCGTATATCCCACCGTGTAACATACAGCGTATATCCCACCGTGTAACATACAGCATATATCCCACAGTGTAACATACAGCATATATCCCACCATGTAACATACAGCGTATATCCCACCGTGTAACATACAGCGTATATCCCACAGTGTAACATACAGCATATATCCCACCGTGTAACATACAGCTTATATCCCACCGTGTAACATACAGCATATATCCCACAGTGTAACATACAGCGTATATCCCACCGTGTAACATACAGCATATATCCCTCAGTGTAACATACAGCATATATCCCACAGTGTAACATACAGCATATATCCCACCGTGTAACATACAGCATATATCCCACAGTGTAACATACAGCTTATATCCCACCATGTAACATACAGCGTATATCCCACCATGTAACATACAGCGTATATCCCACCGTGTAACATACAGCGTATATCCCACCGTGTAACATACAGCATATATCCCACAGTGTAACATACAGCATATATCCCACCGTGTAACATACAGCGTATATCCCACCGTGTAACATACAGCGTATATCCCACAGTGTAACATACAGCATATATCCCACCGTGTAACATACAGCTTATATCCCACCGTGTAACATACAGCATATATCCCACAGTGTAACATACAGCGTATATCCCACCGTGTAACATACAGCATATATCCCTCAGTGTAACATACAGCATATATCCCACAGTGTAACATACAGCATATATCCCACCGTGTAACATACAGCATATATCCCACCGTGTAACATACAGCTTATATCACACTGTGTAACATACAGCGTATATCCCTCAGTGTAACATACAGCGTATATCCCTCAGTGTAACATACAGCGTAAATCCCTCAGTGTAACATACAGTGTATATCCCTCAGTGTAACATACAGCGTAAATCCCTCAGTGTAACATACAGTGTATATCCCTCAGTGTAACATACAGCGTATATCCCTCAGTGTAACATACAGCGTATATCCCACTGTGTAACCCCTCCCCATCCCTCACATGTCTCCCACAACTATCAACAAGGCTCTGCAGATGAGAGATTTACTACCGGGGCCCCTCTAACATGTGTCTAAGTCAGGCCTTCACTTCTTTACTTGGCTATATATAGCCATAGCGTTTATTAATAAACATTCACATTTCAGGTGCTGTGTTCATGACTTTTTCAAGGCCAGCCTATTCTGCCGCACAGTGCCTTCCCTATTAACACACCCCATTACCAACACCCCTGACTTCAATGCACTCACCCAGCAGGTGTGAAGAAAGGCACTGACTGTGTTCAATACTCACACAATCAGTGATAGAGCCAAGCTCACTCAACCAGAACAGTGCCACTGCCCACACCCCTACGCGTTAATGAACTCTCCCAGCGAGCGAGGGAGGGATCCGAAGCTCTAAGCACTATGTGATGGTTAGCAGTCTGTGATTGTCGGAGGATGATATTACGCTATAAGACTCTCTCTTCCTACTGTTTCAGGATTAGCAGTATGTGAGTGTTCCAATTCTCTGGATTTCTTCACTCTGGAATGGATACCATATTTCTCTTCTCCCTGGTGCTGGCCATCATCGTGGCAGGTAAGTCACAATAACTTGGCTAACTTTCACCAGCTTGAATTAAACTGACAAATACTTTAAGTAACGTCTCCCATCTGCTACTATCATCATCATCTAGGATGTACATCTCTTACTACAGTGGTATCCTGTAACACATCTTCTTTCATATTGCCTTTGTTTTATGATAGGTTTAGGAGTGTTCTGTGTACGATAAGAACTTGAAGTTATACTTCAAGAAGGGTAAACAAGATGTGATGTTACATGTGTGGGGAGTACATTGAGGTGAGCTGTATATCTCATTGATTGGAAGGACGGACAAGTGGTATGTTCCTCTCGCAGCCTAACTCTCTTGGCCGAACTCTGGTCTTTAAGAAGGCATTTGCAGTTCTGTCTGTAACGTATACTGCATACACATCATCCGCTGCCAACGAGAGTCTGTTTTCAACAGACCAAACCGGACTTAAGGCTGCTACTGTAAGGGTAGTCCTGCACCATGACCGTGGCATATATTTATTTTTTGAAAAAAAAATAATCTAGAAATGCATACAAAAGCAAGTCTAGCCAGCTCAAGCTAGCTCTATTCCAAATAGGGAATTTTTTAAATATTTTTAGAGTTAAGAAGGACATTGTGTAATATAAGATTTCAGAGACTAAATGTTAGTCTACTGTAAGGGTAGTTCTTTGAGTTGCAGTCTATAATTCAATCCAAATTATTCTTCAGTCTTATCTAGAATATGATAACATTTCAGGTTTCTGTTCATCGTGTATGATAATAACACTAATAATCATCAATCTGGGCATTCCACAAGTTACACATGTCATACAATACTCTCCATCTCTTGATATTTTCTGGCTACCAGCAGATGCACTGATCAAAACGATCTCGCCCCTTCAGATATCTAGCATGTCAATGTGTGATATCCACAGCATATAGCGTGTTCTTTCATCTAACACATCAGTATATGATTTCATATGCCACATGATTACTCACTACAATGACAAATATGCTAGATGACACATAATGCCGTGCGACATATGCACTGACATGCTTGATTTTATGACACTGACATGCAAGGTGATATCACAAACTGACATGTTTGAAATTGCACTGTCAAAGGCTGGATGATATGGCATATTGATATAGTAGATGCCATACACTGTAGTAGTGAGACGATACACGGATGTGTTTCCCCTGATGCTACTGAGCAGCAAGTGACCATCTGATCAGTATCTCAGAACACTGTATCCAATCACGGGAGTAATGTGTAAAGTAGGCGCCACACAGCTTCTGTAATTGTAACCAACTACATTACACTCATGTGCACGTGGGGCAACAAGCTGTCAGGCCTTGCTTATAGTACAGAGAGGAGGTGTGTCACACTGCTGTAACAGATAGGTGTGTCACACTGCTGTAACAGATAGGTGTGTCACACTGCTGTAACAGATAGAAGGATTGTAACACTGTTGTAAGAGATAGGTGTGTCACACCGCTGTAACAGATAGGTGTGTCACACTGCTGTAACAGATAGGTGTGTCACACTGCTGTAACAGATAGGCGTGTCACACTGCTGTAACAGATCGGTGTGTCACACTGTTGTAACATATAGGTGTGTCACACCGCTGTAACAGATAGGTGTGTCACACTGCTGTAACAGATCGGTGTGCTACACTGCTGTAACAGATAGGTGTGTCACACTGCTGTAACAGATAGGTGTGTCACACTGCTGTAACAGATAGGTGTGTCACACTGCTGTAACAGATTGGAGGGCTTTAACAAACAGAAGGGCTGTAACATTGTTGTTTAAGATAGAAGGGCTGTAACATTGTTGTAACAGATAGAAGGATTGTAACATTGTTGTAACAGATGGAAGGGTTGTAACACTCTTGTTACAGATAGGACTGTAACATTGTTTAACATATAGAAGGACTGTAACATTGTTGTTTAAGATGGAAGGGCTGTAACATTGTAACAGATAGAAGGGCGTGTCACATTGTTGTAACAGATAGAAGGGTCGTAACACTGTTGTAACAGATAGAAGGAGAGTCACACTGTCGTAACAGATAGAATTGTTGTAACATTGTGAATATTAGTGTAAATACTAGGAATGTATTGCATATGAGTTAGGTGTATCATAGAATTATAAACATATCAAAAGTTAAGCAGTAAACAATTATTTCAAACAGTAATTACATTGAAACAATTTACACATTCTTGCCAAGAGTGTACGAGTCTGGAACCCAACACCTGGTTCAGGCTGTAGCTGAAACTGTCTCTGACATAGCCTGGAAACATTGCCAGGAATCACAACACAACAAACTTCAGAGATCCAGCTTAATGTTAGATGCGATAGCCGAACAAATGAAATGTAAAACTGTTGTGATTAACCCACATTCTACCAAGGGACATCTTTCACCACATAGAATCTATTTCTGTATATAATCTTTTGATGACCATCAACTGAATTGTGAAGAGTTAGCAATAATCCAGCAATATCGCAGCAGGGTCACAAGGACGGGTGGATCGCATGTTGGGGATCAAACCCAGGTACTTCCGAAGTCAGGCTAGCACCTTAACCACTAGGCTTTCAAGCCCATTTCATGATAACAGATGAGGAGAAGTAGTGTTTATGGACAACAAATGGAGAAGAACTGACTGTCTTGTCTCTTCAAACATATCCCTTTGGATTAATGTTTATAACTTGCTTATCACCTACCCAGGATTTAAAATATATGGAATAAATATGGAATATATTAATCAAACTAAAATGTCTTATTTACATCCAACATTTTTAAGTAACAAACTATCCCTCTAGAGTAAATCAATACAGGAACGAATGCCTTCAAAGAAACACTCCAGACATTACCAAGTACCATGCTTCTTTCAACAGATTTGTTATCCTTCCAACCATACTGGGGCGGTCGGGTAGCCTAGTGGTTAGAGCGTTTGCTCGTCATGACGAAGACCTGGGTTTGATTCCCGACATTGGTACAATGTGTGAAGCCCATTTCTGGTGTCCCCTGCCATGATATTGCTGGAATATTGCTAAAAGCGACGTAAACCATACTCACTCACTCACTCACTCACTCCAACCATACTTTTAAGAGATCACACTAAAAAATATTTTGTAATTATATTTTTTTGAAAACACTTAAAAATCAATAAATGTACACAAAGTGATAAAGAAACAGGTACAATAACCATGTTGCATGGAGTATTTGAGAATTTAATATCAATAGTCAGTTACTCTCTTAGTGTCTGTGTGTCTGTAAGAAGCAAAGTGGGGCAGCCCTCTATAACCTCAACCGTTACAAAGACATCATCACTTTAAAGAATCATGTTGTCAATAATTCTCTGATTGAGGGGACAAGGAAATTGTCTAATTAGAGAAGATCTACTAATTCTACCACTGTTGGGTTGATTCAATATGTAACCTGGTCCATCTTTAAGTGTCATTACCCTATTGATTCCTCACAATGCACCCTACCCTGCAGCCCATACACTGGCATACAGCCGCCTCGGGCCAAAGGTAGTCTTTTGTAATGTCTCATAAAGAAAATCTATAATCATATTTCAATTGTTTAATCACACAAGACCCAATGCCCCTATTTGTTGCAACAACTGTTTTGTATGAGTCACTCGGCCTTTGTTCATTTCAATGTGAAGTTATGATAGCGTCGTCATCATCGCGATCCACGCAGCACGGTGACATCATCGTCATCAGATTGTCACCACCTGTGTGGAACCCGCAGCAGTCACCAGCGATGTAGTCACGGCCAGCTGATCGATGTTGCCATGGTCAGCTGACTGTTGTCATGGTCCACTTCCTGTCGTGCAGTCAACCATTTATTCAGGTTCTGTTGAGTCAAATCTGGATGGACTGTTGTGACTCGTGGCCACCTAAATCATGAGTAGCCTTTGTAGCATGGACAGGCTGTCAATTAGCTAAATGTACCACAGCTCATAAACAGTACAAGGGGAATTATACTGCTATCTGCAGGGGCCATCTGCCATTATACATATAGCAGGATGGTTCCTGGTTCAGAGTCTGGTCATCACACATATATCCTGGCAGTTTATAACAGTATATATCATTGCAGTTGCTGGTTAATATAACATATATCATTGCAGTTGCTGGTTAATATAACATTGCAGTTGCTGGTTAATATATCATTGCAGTTGCTGGTTAATATAACATATATCATTGCAGTTGCTGGTTAATATAACATTGCAGTTGCTGGTTAATATAAAATATATCATTGCAGCGAATGGTTTATATTACATATACCACAGCTGACATCTGCTAGTTTGTCAAAAGAATGGCTGGCTACCTCTCAAACATGTATTACCGTACATGATTACATAAGAGCTCTGACAACTTTGAAAGATGTATCTTCATTTATGTTTTTCTCTTGTTCCCATAATGTAATTGACAACAATTACCCAAATCTTTTCTATAAGATAAGATAAGATAATATTTATTGCAGAAAAGTTCCAGTACAGGACAGATGCAATTTTATATTGACAGTATTGAACCTATACTATTCTCCCCAACTATTTATTGATAGGGATAAAGAGATATTTCAAACATTTTACATCTATACGTACATGAATGACTCTGGGTGGTGTGTCATGAAATAACATACATTTCAAATTAGAGCATTGCTGAAATTTGCTCGTGATATCTCCTTAAGACTTCCTATGACAAACCTCCATATGTATTTTCCAACTTTTTCATTAAGATAATAATCAAAATCAGTTAAAAATCTGCATAACATTTATCAGAATATATGTAATTAACTGATTTTGTGCAGCAACTTACATCATCGCAATCAGATTTCACTATCTGTAATTAATCCATGGTACATAAGCAGGCTGAGTCTGATGGTGACTTCAAAGGGCTCACAGAGTGCTGATAACATGATCGCTAATAGTAAAAACTGAACACTTTGTACACAGTCAGTGAGTCTTCACTCTACAAAAAGAACACAGGGTAGTGAGCGTGAGACTGCCGTGTGACAAC